GGAGGGAAGGAAGAGAGAGAGAGAGAGAGAGAGAGAGAGAGAGAGAGAGAGAGAGAGAGGGAGAGAAGGTTAGGAAAAAAGCAGCTGGGTCGGAGGCTTCAGAGGGTGCTGCAGGGGGCGAATTGAAACAGCTGAAGGTGTGCAGATGGAGATTTCCCCCTGATCCAAATTTAATTTGATATCATCGTGACACAGGCAGAGAATGCTTTGAGTTGACAAAGAGGGTACTGGGGCGTACATATGCAGCAGTGAAAGCTCATATTTTTCCCCTCACTTTTTTTGAGGTGGGGGGCTGGCTATAACAAGAACCCGGATGTCGCCTGGATTTTATGATCTTTTCCTTCTGTGTAACAAAGCGGAGTAATCAATGGGTAGCAATAAAGCCATAAACGGGGACTACGCTGGGAAAAAAACTCGTTTATTCATCTTCTGTAACGATAAGATTTCCCTGGAGTGTCACTATGGGGGAAAAATAAAGTTTCGAACCCAAAAGCAGAGAGTGTGTGCAGGAGCTGGTGCAGACAACATGTTAGTTAATGCATGAACATCGTTGGGGGCTGAAGAGACTTTCTGCCAATTTGTGTTTGCTTTTTAAAATCCAACACCCCCCCCATCAGAAAGGAAGGAAATTGGTTGGCACTTAGAATGGTAAGGGAAAGATCCTTATAAAGGTTCTCCCTTTGGACTACACTTTCTTCTTCACAAGGAGATAAAGGCGAAAGGGTACTTACATTAAAAATAAAATTTTAAGAGGAGTTATGTCTTTTGGGGATGATATGGCAGGTACACAAACAGACTCCAGTGTGAGTTACTTTTTGCTCTTGAATCCAGCTGTTCTCAAATTCATAGCATGCCTGGGCAGAGGTTTCCAACAGCTGGCTGGGGCTCCAGTCCCCCTGGAGGACTAGAGGCAGGGGGAGAGAAAAACAAGGGGGAGTACCCTGGGGCTGAGCTGAGGAACAAGTCAGTGCACCCCTGGACAAAAGTAGCCTCTCTCACAGTTCTCAGCCTCCTTTCTGCCCTGAAGGTAGCTGTGTAACAAGTAGAAGAGGCCGGAAGAAATAGTAAATTCCCCCTCCTTTTGGAGCAAGATTGCTAGGGGGATAAATCATGTCAGTGGTATTTCTTTCAAGATATTAAATTGTTGCAATGTACAACAAATTGAATGATGGAAGATAGGATGCCTTAATGAGGTTTTTGCTTTCAATGAGTGTGGATTTTCTAACTATTTTTAAATCTTTTACGAGTGGGAGGGAGGTACCTTGAAAGAAAGAAGGGGCATCTGGGGAAGCATGTGCTACAGCCCCCGGGGAAGGATGTCTGAATTTCGTAGAGCCCTTCCTTAACCAATCTGGAGAGGAAAGGGGCCCCAAAGTTGAGGACACTGTCTTTTGGGGCCTAAAGGTGGTGGGCTTCAGGGTGGGCGACCTGAGGAGCAGAATGTAAGTCTCAGGCCCAGAAAGTTAAGTGTTTTATTATGTCCCTAAACAGAGGGCAGAGACTGAAAGGTCTCACCGATTTATAATGAACAGAAACCAGCTGCTGGGAGAAAAAGGCAGAAATGCTGAAAGAGGGAGAGGAAGGGAAGCAGAAATACAAATAAATTTCCCACTGCTTAAATACCTTTGAAAAAATTAATTTCCAACACATTCTCCTCCATCACCTTCTGTTCCTGGGGAAAGAAGCCTCCTTTCAGTCAGATCTTTAATTATGCGGCTGAAATTTGCTGGAGGATTCGCTCCAAGGGGGGAGAGCAGGTTAGATGAGCCCGATCTTTCCTCCATTGGATTGTAGTTTTCTTTTTCATTTCATGCTCATTTTATTTTTTTTGGCAAAGAATTGCTATGGGGGGGCAGCTGGGACTTGGATTTTTCTAGATATATTTATATTTTCCTGTGAAATTTGTCTGAAAACAATTATGGAAACTCATCAGCAGAAGCAAGAACAGATGTTTTATTAAAACTGCATTTGAGCTCTGTAAATATGCACAAGTCTTGGGAAGGAGGGAGTGAACTCTTTGTTTCTATAAAACAAGCCTAGAGAAATGAGAGAACACCCCCAACAGGCCAGCAGGTTTCCGTGCTGCTCTAGCCCCTCGGCCTTCTACGTTAGGCATACAGAGGGGGCTTGGTGTCAAGAGTAGATTTTTGCTTTTGCAACTGTAAGTAGTGGATTCAAAAACTGATTTAAAAACACAGAAAAGGAATAAAGGGGGAAAGTTTGCCGCTCACTACCCTAGTCTTCCCCTCACCAATCCAAAACACATGCTTTTCATGAGCACTAATTATAGGAGGGGAATTTACTGCCTGTGCTTTGGGCCTGAGTATGGTGCAGTCACTGGCCAGGAGTCCCCAAGGCTAAGGGTAGCACTGGAACTGGACACTTGGGGGTTTCCTAGGGAAAGCGCTCCTACTTCAGCCAGCCTTGCCGTGCTCCAGACCACAGAAAGGCTAGGAGGTCGCTGGGCTCTAAACTGGGGAGCTGGTGGTTGGGACTGGATGCCTCCCTGAAGAGTTCTTGAGCAGGCCTCACCTTGCCTGCTTTTGCTTTTCACTCTGCACTGGGAAATATATAAATTTAATTTCGTGTGGAGGGACACTTGAGGTGAACGGGATGAGATCTGCAATTTTTATTTGGGAGACAATTTTTTCTAAAGGTACTCCTTAGTTTGTGTTTAGCCAACCTCCTTTCTCCAGATCCCTAACTCTGTGATTCACCCTTGCATTGCTTTATATACTCCATTCCTGGCTGCCAGGCAGCGCCGGCAACTACAGCTTGGTGCCTCCGAAGGCTGTTTAGGGACCCCAACACTAGAGCTGCAAGAGGAAATGCTCCAAGGGCCGAGCACTTGGCTGCTTAGAAGCTACTTCGTCTGCCAGACCAGTCGGACAGCACCCCCAATTCCAGAGCCAGAGAAGAGCAGTTGCCGGCTTCTTTTGTGCCACTGGGCAAAGGCCGAAATCCCTCTTTCAGAGAAAGCCAAGTTTCAATAATTGCTCAGCTCACTTCATAAGAGCTCTATTTGGTTAAGGCTTTGCTGTTCTAGACTGAATGCTCAGCAGGCACCACTGGGCTTACGATTCAATTTTTATACTTAAAAATTAAAAATAAACCTACCCTAAATGGTCGGTGTTTTGTGTATGAGCTCCTTTGATCTCCTTGGAACAGAGTAAAAGGATTGCAGAGAGCTTCACCGTCTGCCAGAGAATGTGAGCACACGGGACTGGTCTGCTGAGGCACCCCAAAGCATGGCTAACCCAAGGGGCTTCCAGTTTCTCACAGATACGGTAGGGGAAGTTTTCTGGGCATGAACTCCCTCCTTATACAGACCACATTCCATACAGGAACACTCCTCCTTTCAAAGTTCAGGCTTGAAGACACATGGGAAAAAGTGAAATTTGACACACCCAACCCGGAAATAGATGCCATTTGTGGGTGCTGATAGTCTGGGGACAAGGCTTAGGCCCGCCAGCTCAAGGGAATTGGGGGTCAGCTGGGAGGGGGTAGGAAGAAGGGGCCAGATGGGGCATGTCAAACTGCTGAGAACTGCCCCAAACACCTCGGAGGCCTGCGCTGGTGACTCTGCTTTTGAGCTAAGAAGAAGTTGAAAGACTGTTGGAGCTGTTTTTGCTTTACTGCAATTCAACAGAGAAAATAGGTATATAGGGACTCTGCTAACTCATGTTATATTTCCTCTCTTGTCTCTTTCTGTATTTTCTCCTGGCTCTTCCTTACTGGAACCCCACTTAACTGTTACTACGATCAGCAGACACAAACCTTTACATTGGTGTTTTATCTGGCTTCTTAAGTCATTTCTCAGGATGAAGATTAAAAAATAAAAGAAGTCCCAAGTATCTCTGCTCCATTCCACCCAGCTCTGAGTCCTTTTCTGTCTCCATCTGGAAAAAAACCATTTCTGGCTTTTTGGAGCCTAGCCCTCAGGTCTTTCACCTTTATCCCAAGCAGCTGAATATCAGCTAAGGAGAGAGCTTGTGAAAAGTCTACCACTCAGCACCTCATCCCTGCTGAGGACCGGGAAGGAGCTCAGCCACTTAGGAACACTTCAGGAAGGCAAAGCAAGTGGCCCTACTTGGCCCAGGAGGAACAGTTAAAATCCAGAATATTCAAAGTAGCTTAGGACCTCAGGAGGTTATCAGAGAATGAAGGAGGAGCAGTAAGGATGTGCTGCTATGCATTAGGCCAAAGGATCCCCAACTTCCTGGTTTCTCTTCTTCTCCTTAACATGGGATATTGCTTGGACCCATTCTGGAGGTTTATGAGAATTGTAAAAATCAAGAACTTGGCATTTATGACATCATAGTGAGTTGTCATATGGAAATTGTAAATGTCATAAATGTTATGTATGGCCGAAAAGCTTTGCGTGTGGGCACACGTAGCCTCCTCTCACTTTTTTTCCCTTTCCTCCTCTTCTTCCTAGTCTAACTTCTCGCACTAGAAAACAAAATGTTACTATGTTCTGGAAAAATAAACCAACAATAAAAAAGCATCCTCATTTCCCTATAAATAATTTTATCCTTTACTGTTTGCAATCTGAAAGAACCATTTTATTTGTGCAGGTGAAGAGGGGGCAAGAGATGGGGAGGGGGAAGTTAATTTCAGGAACAAGAATACTGCTTATTTTGATGATACCTTTAGATTTGATAGCCAGGAGCAAAATTAAAGAAGAACATTGGCTTCGCTGACTCTATACCTGGCGTGTGATTGGAGATTTATAGGATCTTTAGGGAAGGGGCAATTTAATTTTGTAGGATTTTAAAAAAATTGCTGCTATTTTGGGGGGTTGAGGAAAGTGAAGGGAGAAGAACAACATGCTTTCTCTAGCTTTATGAATCCTCCAACATTACCCTGATTTAAAACCAATAATCTCTGTCTCAGAGAATCTCCTGCAGAAAGGAATGGAGGAGTTGTGATGAGGGGGGCTCAACTTTCTCAATGACTGTGGCCCCCTTAAGCAAGCAGTTAACAGGGGAAAGGTAGAAAAGCTGGAGACAAGAGGAGGGCTGCTTGTAAGTCTCTCCACCAGTAGGACACCTGGAGGTTTATGGTGTCCCCATAATTCCCCTGACCCTATAAACTGCTGCCTTATTTTAGGACAATTTCTCCTTCCTCCCCTCAGAAAGTGAGAATTAGGGAGCTGGAATGGGCTGGAGGCAGGGTGCTGGCAGAGGGAGGGAATTTGGGATTGAGCTGCACTTTGTTCTCCTAGGCGAATTTGCTGGTTTGGCGGGTTTCAGACGCAGGGTGGCAGCAGACAAAACAAGTAAACAACTCACAGACATAATAAACAGGGGCGGCTGGGCTGCAGCGTGGTGGCAGAGGAGGCCCTGAGCTGGGTAAGGGGCATCATTATGGGGCAGTGTCACCCCAGCGCCCAGAGTGGCCAAGGCCAGAAAGCCCTTGATGGCCCTCAGTGATGGTAGAAGAAAGGTGGAAGAAAACTACAGCCTCGGGTCACAGCTTGTCTGCACGTGAGATTCTTGGGAGGAACCTTAGGACTTTGGGAGCAGTGGAAAAAAACCCTCCAGTCCCGTTACTGTCCGCACTTTCTTTTATAGGGCTTTCCATTGACATTGATATTTTCCCTCTGTTCTATCTTCCTGGCCCTGGAAGCAAGAAGGCTGAGAAAGGAAGCTGATTAATTTCCAGCAGCAGTGCATACTCAGTACTCCAGGCCCCAGGAGCAGGGCCCAGTTTGGAGGCTCCCACATAACCTCCACCAGCTTTCTTTGCTAGCCTGGCCTTTCCCTAGCTCAGGTAGCAGACAGAATTAAAATGCAGTCCCATCAGTAAGCAGGGTTGGATATCTGGGGAATCTAGAGAATTTCTAATCGGTCCCCTAAAGACACAGGCAAGTCTGAGGTGGGGTGAGTGGCCAGGGCATGCAAGGAGAAGGAGAAATGTTCATTCACCACATCAGTATCAATTCTGGTTTGCCTTACCCATTCACCAGCTTCTCCAAACACCCTGACCAAAGCCATCCCAGACCACTACTTGGAGGCCACTTTACTAAACCACTCTAATCTTTTCACAGCTCCAGGGAGATTTTCAGATCCAGAGTCCATCTCTGGCTGTTCAAAACTGCTTACAGGCCTATGACACCCATGAAAGAGCCAATAAGCCTCATTTTTAAGATGCCCTAGTCCCCCTTCTAAGATAGTCTGAAATTTGGAGAGTATATACAAAGACGAGGGAAAGCAGAAGGGACTGGGTACTCCCCAAGCCCTGGTGCTTGACCAGCAAAAGCAGTAATGTCTAAGAAAGCTCTTGTAACATCCGTTGGTTACTAGAACCCGCATACTCCGATTCCAGTGCACACATATTTGGAGCAGAAAAGCACAGAGGGCATTCTTGGTGCACCTGGTGCTCCCAGGAGCTCACTCTCAACTAGTAAGGGCTAACAAAATTTTGCATGCACATAAAATTGTGTTTGAAGGAATATAGGCATGGTGATACACAATTAGCCACTGAAGAAACATGAGTCTTTATATATTTATGCAGAAATCAAAGTCTGTACACTTGAGCCTGTATATAATACATGTAGAAAACCACAGAGCCTGGTTTCAGAACACAACAGCCAACCCAACAAGGTCGCCTTCTCCGAACAAGGTCGCATTCTTCGTGGGGATCACAACTGTCAGACCAAGGAAGGAAAGGGTTTACTCTGCCCATTTCTCTTTAGCTAGGAACTGGTGCATGAAATAGAGTGGATGGCAGGGCTGACAAAGCCCTATAAAGGGCATGTCTGGGGGTGCCCAAAGAGTGGGCTGGGGGAAAGCTGGGGGCCGCGGGCTCTGAGGAAAGTTGCCAGGCCGTGATCCCAGATCAGTGTGTCTGCTCAGCCTCAGCCCTGGGTGCGCAGAGTCCTTGAGCCAGATTCTATTCTCAGCCACCCTGGTTATTATTAGGTAATCACAGAAGAGCTCTCCTGCAGTGAGGACCACATCAGCAGAGACTCTGGCCTGCAAGGAGGTTAAGGGTTGCCACTGATGACCCCTCTGGTGCTTCTGTTTGAGTGTCAGAGGAGATGCAAAAAGGGGAAAAGTGAAAGTAACTAAATGGGAAGCAGAGGACTGGCATTGGGGTATGGTTTATCCCCTGGGAAGACCCGGAGAAGTGGAAAACCAGGGCCAGTTAGGGCTACTATGCTTTCTCTTCATCTCTCTGTCTCATGAGGAGACATCTAGGGGTGAAGGGCACAAAGTAAGGTGGGGGCCTCAGAAGGGGACAAGAATCGATAGACATATAAAGACACCTCAGGATGGTACTGTTAGCCAGTCCACCTCACACCCTAGGACCCCGATATCTCGACATCTCCCTGTTAGCACATTAAACTAGATCCCCGTAGGCCAAAAGAAATACCCCAGCCTCGCCCAGGCCCGCCTCTCCGATGGGAGGGGGGGGCCCTCCGATATCCCAGGTGAGTCTTACTGGCCCTAATAGCCTTCTCTAGAAACGATTTTCTTTAGGGGACAAACAAAGGAGACTCATGCCCTCCCACAGTCCCCTAGCCAGTGCGCCGATCCACAGGGGCGTGAGCGGACAAAATACAGGCGAAAGAGAAATAGAGGCCTCACCGGTCAGCGGTTCCCACAATACTCCAGAAGAAAGGCTCCCATTTTCGGGCCTCCCGGGCCCCTCCACCGTCCCACCGTACTCCCCTTGCCCTTTTCAGGTCCCACAGCCTCGGGTCCCGGCCCGCCACAGCCTAGCTCCCCGAGGCGTCAGCCCTCGGGCAGAGCCGCAGCGGCCGGAGAGCGCACGCAGCCGAGCAGGCGGCGGGCTGGGCCCATTTGGGGAGAGCCAAGCGTTTTTCTCGATCGTAAACAAGGAACGCGAAATTAGCCCCTCGGCAGACGCCTCTGCCTATACACCAGTGCTATTGGGGAGGGGATAGGAAGGGGGAGAGAAAATGCCATTTCTTCCCTCGGGAGAATACCTCAGAGGCCTTTCTGTCGACTGCGAAAGGGGACTTTTGGGGGGGCAGGAGAGGAAGGGAAGGGGATTGTAGGGGGAGGGGAGAGAAGATTCACCGTCAGCGCGGGCCCAAGGGGTTTGATTTGAATGCAGTCGAACTATA